TCCACCACGTCAGCATAGAGAACTGTGACGCTGACGGCACTTCACACAGTTCGCATCAAGAAGTCATTTCGAACAGGGAACGGGACAGCAGTGTAACCAAACGCAAAGCTTTCAACGCGTGTGCCGCGGCCACGGACTCTGAGAACCGATGAGAAGCAGTCTGCTGGATCAAACGTGGCAGTAGAAAAATCGCGGCTATGACATAATCATAACTTGTATTGACTGCAGAGTAGTGACGTGAGGGAAGTAGGGGGGATCAACCGCGGGGTCGCTTAGAAGAGTGTCAACTGCGAGGGTGTCGATCGCGCACGCAATCGTCAAATTACACTTTAAAAAAACTTTCAAAATAAATTTGCTGTTGACATTTTGCAGATAATATACGTATGTTCACGGGAATGAATCCCGCAGGCTGTCTCGTCCACGAAATTTCGTGTCAGTACCCCTTAACATAGCAGTAAGAGTACCCCCATAGTGATGCGCTATCGACATTTCAATAGCGCTTCACTATGGCGTCTTTTATAAGCACATCGAGGATTTGGGACGGTAAACCCCAATAATTATTATGAGTAACAAGTAGCAGGGACCTATATAGCCACAATTTTTTTCAGGGGGGGGGGGGGAGCATCTTTTGATTTCGGGGGAGGCACCTTTTTGAATGGACATTTTTCGCTATCTATGCCATGGCAAAAAAAAAATTGGGAGGTGGCAGGGGCTAGGCTCCAAGCAAGTAGGAACTTGCGGAAACACGCCTTATATGACGACAGTGAAGGCATGATCACATAAGTAATGATGGAAACTGAAAGCAGCAGTAGAGTGACAGCCCATCCGGTTTTTATAAAAAGCACCAGCAACAGCTGCTCAAGCGTCCAATGAACTGTTGCAAAGCGGCCCTTTACGCACGTTCCTATCTCGCAGGTCAGATGTCGGGACCTTTTAGAGAGAAAAGAAACGCTAATGTTTCTTGTTTGATCCTTCATTTTGGAAACCCGAAGCATGGGCGTACCTCTTCAAACGGGATAACGACTATTTGTTAACTCTTCGACTGTTGACACGTCGAGAGGTATACAGGAAGTGCACGCGCGGGCATCCGGAGTTGACGTGACGTGGTGAGAGGTCAGCAAGGAAAATAGTCGCTTGGCTGTCGCTCCGTTAAGAGCAATCCCGTCCCCGCGAAGGAAACAGGAAAGCGGGAGACCACACAAGAGTGACATGTCGCCTATTCTTAGCCCAATTTCGACCCCGGCTGCGCTTCAGAAAAGAAAGGTTACGTGTGCTTCAGCGTTGAAACTTCGCTAAATGGTCTCTCAAAAGCCAAGAATGAGGCCAGGCACTAACATATCCGCTGATTACTGCGTTGTCCATTAGGGAGAACCTCCTTGCGTTTAAAACCATTGTTGTTGTTGTTTTACCTCTCTTTAGCGGTATTAGTTATGCGCACACCTTTATGCTCGTCAGTGCATTTCTATATTTCTGCGTTTTGAGAGGCAAGAAAATAAATTGTTATAGAACATCCAATTAAAAAAAGAACAATAGACAGAAAGAAAAGAAAAAACATTTTTCTACGTATTTGTACAAATATTTGCGTACTAGGCATATGATGAGATATATAAACATTCGCTACTAACTGAGGATCGGGCGCGTCATCTTAACGTACAATCAACGTCAAAACTTGAAGGACCACGAGACGAGAAAAAAAGCTGATTATTCCCGTGGGCAGCCTCGAATATAGCTCCTCCTCTGTTGAGGACGGCTGAGCGGACGTGTGCCTTAGGTTCCCTGCCTTTTCTTCCTCCTTGACTTTCGTTTCTTACCGGTCGGTTCTAAAATGCCCTAACAACATGTACCGTGCAGTTCGATGCAGTATGGTGAAGAGCTGCCACGAAATCCAAATTTCTCGTAGGCGTAGTGGTGCCTGAACTTTTGACATCAACGTTGGTCGTTTCGGGACGTTAAACCGCTCGTATCAAACTTTTGACATTGGTATGTTTTAGTGATACTTTAGTGTTTTTGACATCACTAAAGCTATGCTTCACTGAGGGTTGCTTAACGATGTGGTAGGTAAAGGCATAAGTTTCCTAAAATTAACTAGAGGGGAATCTGGCGCAGCGACTATTCAGCGACCATGGAATATGATGGGTAGTCTGTATACGAATTTGCTTATAGTATTTGTGCTTGCGGGCTTCAAACGCACTTGTGACTTTGTTTATTGCAGTGTTTTGGTTCCGTTTCGAATGAAAGAACAAACCGTTTTGAACCTCGTGACCCGATTTGAAGTGGCGAGCTTAAAGGTTAAGGTGGTGAAGCGCACCTGCTAAACCTTCGCTGATTGTCGGCTCGTGACAAAGCAGCTCCAAGCCATGTGAAGCGAAATGGAGCCGAAAGTACGAGTATTAGACAAGTTTGTGACCCTACCCAGAATCATTACGCTCGCTGAAGCGCCACACGTTGCGGATTTCGTAGCCACCAGCGCCAGAGTTCCCTCTATACTTTATTTACAAGAAACTCTATGGGAAAGGGGACAGATGTGTGGATGAAGGAACTTTATTAAGGTCCAATAGATCGCGCTAGTATCCTAGCCTAAAGCGGGCCGCTTCCACGTTGGGACCGGCCTTTCGGCCGATTAGCGGGCTCGTTGGAATGCCCATACTTGTCCCTCTAATGTGGGACTGCGTATACAGATGCGTTGCTCTGTTCTTCAGTGTTTTCCTTGTCACTGTGAAACGCGGGGCAACGCCAAAATATACGAGTGAGATCTATGGCGTTGTTGCATTTATCGCATGTTGTAAAAGTAGAAAACTCCGGATAAATCTTGTTAATTAACAGCGGGTTCGGATAGTTTATGGTTTGTTAGAGCCTCAGCATAGCGGTCTGAGCTCTGTTTAGTTCACTGTGTGGATGCGGGAAGACACTGCGTCCTATAGGCAGAGGTTAGCTCGTTGTAACTGAGTAGGTGATCTCTGCAGTCTGCAACTTTTTGCTTCATCACAACATACAACCTCGCTCTTTCACAAAGATAAACTGCAGTTGAACCACGTCAACTTGACCTTTCAGGGACGAGGGTTAAATATGATCGTTATCAACACACACCTACGATAGACAATGAACCACCCGAGAAGCCACGCGATACTGGTAGTTTGCCTTGCGGCTGAAAGATCGATGCTCAACATCTGCCATCGTAGCTGCTAGTGGCGCTTGTTAAAACGCCCACAGCTACATCTTGTAATGGAGAAAGAAAGAGAAGAGGAGAAGAAAGGAAGAATGACTGACCAAGTTAGCCGTCAGCTTTGCTACTCTTCTGCATTTGGGGACGAGGAAAAGACAAAAAAAAATAAAAATCGGCGGATCCAACGTACCTTGGGAATAGATGTTATGCGAAGCGTGCGGATAGAAGGCAACTGTGTTTTCATCTTTTTATTGAGCTAAACGTTACGAAGTGGCGCTGGAGGTATGTACAAATATACGTCGAACTACCGCATATGTTTTATATAACAAGTTGTTTACGGTTACCTAATGATGTCAACGGCAACATAGATATTAGCAACACCAGAAGCGGTAAAATATGATATGAAGGGCTGGTGCTTACGAGGGACGCACAATGTCGGAAAAAAATGTCGTTTAGGTAGTTCACGGCTCACAGCAGTAAGTCACGTTTCATTTTCCAGAAAAAAGCACTCGTCATTGGTTTCTAGTAAAGGCTTCCTCCTCCTCACACGTTTTTTCGTGTTGACCTTTACATTCCAAAACAACGAACATTTAAGTTTTCTGTATGCTTTCCTGGGTTTTGTTATTTTGCGGCGTCATGTTTTCTTAACAACAGCAACCCCTTGATATTCGATAATTGTAACTATCAGATCAGAAAGCCAAAGAAAGTACAGGGGTTGTTATATGTAGTAAGTATAATGTAAATGTAAACGAAGTAAAGGTGTATTAAAGATAAGTTGCCACTGGCAGGGATAAGCCTGAAACCTCTGGTCCCCGTAAGTGGCAAGTTATCTTTTCAACCACTTTAATTTCTTTGCATTATATTTGCCACAAATAACGACCCCTGTGCTTTCCTTGGCTTTCTTGTCTGCTCCAAAAATGTTGCGTCGACCAACAACAACAAAAAAACGAGTCCCTACAGTTTGCCTACTTCCATTGATTTCTGTCATGTTTCTTGTAGACCCACATGTATGAACGGATAGTCAAAGTTAAGGTGTACATATATCCGAGTAAACTCTTGACAGCTAAAGGCCACCGCTTTTTTAGAAGGCGAAGTACCTCCAAAGCTACCGCAGACACGTCCATTCAGTTCGCTATATTTATACGCACAAAAAGAAAGTGCGCAATTAATTCTCTGCGGTTTCACTTCCTTTGGGTAAGACCCGCGCATACATAAAATTGCAGCGAGCGTGTTTACTGCAGTGTCCTATACGAGTAAACAACCGCGCCCCACAAAATCTCGCGATAAAAGGACGTTGAGGAAGCCGGATACCTATATATAACTCCTTTTGGGCTTAGGTACCTGTTTTTTTTTTCATTCAATTTCTAGGTTTTCGCGTGACAAGTTGAAGGCTGCACACGAAATAAAAATAGCGTTTTCTTCCCGTAGTCGACAAAATCTGAGATACGAAATCGCACCGCACACCATTCTTGCTTGAGGAATAAAAAAGGCTCGCACCTGTGTCGGGAAGGAAGACCAGTGGCGTGAACAAAACCGATTCCACATAGTCAGTTTCGATCTGATTAAATTTCTTGATCGTGACTACTTTCACATAAAAAACAGCACCAATAACGCCAATAACGAGGGACAAGAAAAGGAGACAGACAGCGGTACTGGCTTACAACAAGATTTTTTTGCTAGAACCGCAAAATATATACTTCGACATTCCTCCAGTAAAGAGCAAATCGCTGTTTGGATTTTCCTCCCAATCGCGCTTATTTGAGACCCGCAAATGACCGGGTGACTCTGGTACAAGAAACATTCTTTCAGAGACAGCGTGGAGTAGTGTAGAGCTGTATGACATTGGTGTGAAAAAAACTGTAGTTTATACCTTAAATAGCATGTTTACAAAAGCATAGTTACCTTCTCAAAATCCACAGCAAGCTTCTGCAGGTCACTGGGGAACTTGATTACATTCGGTGCTATGTCGAGCAGGAATGCAGTTACTCGGCCCATCATTCTGTGGTGAGTGCTTTCTGCGACTTCAAAGCGGCCAGCGACATCTCTAATGCATGCTTTGTTGGCTGCATACCTGAAAAGGAGAGGATACTCTAATTAAATAATGGAATTAAGCTTGCTGTTGCTGTCAATGACTGAATAATGGTGTTAACAATGCTGTCGCTGTCAATGAAGCAAATTAGCAAGACAACTGAAGTCAGAAAACACGATTCCACCTTTTTGGGTGACACCTTAGAAACTCAAAATATTTGATTAGTAGAAGCACTATCTAAATAACAAATTCTAATTTTAATTCGCGCATTACATTTATAAGTGTGGAGATGAAGCTCACTGTGAACCTGCTGACACAGCCGATTTGAAATGCTTCGTGAGCAAAAGTTTTCATGGTTGTTTGTAATGATGCATCATGAATTATGCTTTGCCACTGATTCTAGTAACGAGAATTTTGTGAAGCTCAGTGTGTAGGTGTACAAACTACGAAAGCATTTCACAAAATACTATAACTCTATTACGTTCGACACTCGCTAGTAGCATTTAACAAGTTTAAAGCAAGGTGGTCCAATGACATGCTGCGAATTAGGTACATTTATTTGCAATATTTCATATGCCTCTAACCCACTATAAAACGGATTATGCAGTGACCTGATGACAGCGGCATTCCTAAACGTACGGACACTCACCAAAGAAAGGAGAGAATGTGTTCTTCAGCCGACTTGGCAGGCAGGCCACCATGATCACTGTTCTGAGGGCAGTGCGGTGACTTGGCGAATTCTGCTGCCAAGAAGTCCACGACCGGCCGCGTGACGCGGAAATTTCTTTTGAACTGGAAGAAAACAGGCCTTTAAGCAACCTAATTAAAACAGAAGCCGAATGACTCACCTCCTCGTCGGAGTAGCTAGCCACCGTCTTTGTAACATATGCTTCCACTTTCGGCCTTCGCTCTGGCAGAGAAAAGAGCTGCTGAAACGCTGCTGCATACACTTCGTCGTCATCGTCGCTGCTGCTTGAACTCGACTCGGACGTAGAGCTCCAGCAGCTATCGCTGCTGACATCGTCTAGCTCGTCAAATACTTCGGCAAGACGACGACGTTTTGCTGCCTCCGCCATCCGTGAATCTGAAGGCAGGCAAGGTGGACGTTCACTGCCAGAATCTGCCGCTACGACGTTAAAATCGTTCGAGCCCGAGCACCACGCACGCTTCGCTGCCGCCATAACCGCCCGACACGACGCCGCAAAATGTAAACAAGTGAGGAGGATTGCTGAGAGGGTATGTCCGGACATGACGTTCCAAACACGTGGTTTCCTGCGTTTTCCACTCACTCCGCTTTTTAAGAGGGAGCAGACAGAACTGCTCCTGGCTGCTCTCGGCGCAGCAAAAGCGCTCTCGCTCTACCAATGGATGACAGTGCTCCTACTCCTGTTCGACCACTGAAACACGCCGCCTCGGAAGAGAGCACTTTGAGCGTGCTTTTGAGTGCACCTGCTCTCCCAATGGAATTCGCCATAAGTGTTCGAAGTATACGCGCTAGAACAGGATGTCGCTATCCCGTTCAACTCCTAAATGCGAAGCTTTACGGTCCCCTAATTTTTACGCACTCACTCCGATTTGTTTACTCTTCCATCAACGGTGACGCGTCAACGTCTGTCTGATATGAACACTAAATGGCGTTGTTCGAAATCCGGCTTGACGAACGTCAGCACTAAGCCGCTACAGCATGGGTATTCGCTCCCACACTTGTGCCACTCGTCTCACGTCGTATGTTCCCCAAGCCGACTTGAGCGTGCGACTAGCGCGGAAGAATACATACACCATGACAGCGTCGTGGGCTCGTGACAGCACGGCTGGCAGACGACGCGCCATTGATAGCTTCCCGGAGGGAGCGGACAAGTTATACTGGGCCTGTGCCGCTCTCGTAGCGGGAGCGCACGCGTTGACCACCGAGAGTGACAGGGATGATTTGCACTTTCCCACCGTCTCTTCCTTCTCCTCCTCTGCCAATATGTTCGATTTGGCTCCTGTCATCGCCAGAGAAGGGAAGGCTGTCATCCGTCGTGTCATCACCTAAATATGTGCAGCGCGGGCGAGGCTACGAATCACTTCACCCAGTCAGGAACCGCGGTTGTGCGCTCGTGTGACCCTATTCGACAGTGAATGTATCAGTTGTACGTAGAATGAAAACAATCTTTCCCGGCATCATGAGCGGTTGTCGTTCACAATAGCCTGATGACCCTCCTACCTTCGAATGTGGTGCACGAATATTGATTGCACGAATGAAACAGTCAAGGCTGCTTACTACCCCAAGGCTATCCGTCTTTTGCGATCACTCTATCGAGCGGTTCGCGTATTGAAAATTTCGCACTCGTATACAAACACCTTGTATATACCTCGCCTTGTTAAAAGTTGGCGAAGCGTGTAACGACCCGCGAAAAACTTCAAACAACGAAACTGCGCGATTGTGATTCTGAAAACTAAACTATAGTTGCTTCTAGGTTCTTTCTAGGCCGTAGACGCAGGTTCTAGGTTGCTTTTAGGTTGTTTCTATGTTTTAGCTAAGTGATGTTAGGTTCTTTCTACGCTGATTCTCAGCGTGGAAAGGCTCGAATTAAACGGCAGACATTCCCACACACACAACACATATGACCAAACTGCTGACAAACTCGCGCTTAGACGAAGCGTTCGCATCTCCCAAAGATATACGCCCAGGCAGTAGTTGGCCTATAAGCCTTTCAACGCTTCGGTGTCTGCTCGCAACCACCAAATGCCCCGCTGCGGTGGTCTAGTGGCTAAGGTACTCGGCTGCTGACCCGCAGGGCGCGGGTTCAAATCCCGGCTGCGGTGGCTGCATTTCCGATGGAGGCGGAAATGTTGTAGGCCCGTGTGCTCAGATTTGGGTGCACTTTAAAGAACCCCAGGTGGTCTAAATTTCTGGAGCCCTCCACTACGGCGTCTCTCATAATCATATAGTGGTTTTGGGACGTTAAACCCCACATATCAATCAATCAATCGCAACCGCCATTGCCTTTCCCGTTTCCTAGCATTCTCGTTGCACGCATTCGTGGCCCGCGGCTCGTCGCCGTCACTTCGCAGCCATTTGTTGGGCTAACTGTTGCCTTTTTAGGATTTTAGGAGCTTGCTCCTAAAGCTCGCGTTCTAGGTTGCTCTCTAGCCGCCGGCGTGTACACCAGTGTTGTCAGTGTTCTCGGGTCGTCACTCAAGGTCGCCGATCTGGTCGCCTCTCTGGTGATTCTAACAATGCTCACTAGATGGTGCGCCGCCACTGAAAGCTGGCTGACGTTCGGCAATGCGGTCTTGTGCATGAGATCAGAAGTTCAAGCAAGATTAGAAATTAAGCAACGTGGAATAGGTAGGCTTGCTTTAGGAGCTCACGGGAATACACCAAATCAGGGAGTACAAGGTGATATGGGATGGACATCATTTGAGGGCAGGGAAGCTAGCAGCAAGATAAAATTTGAGAAGCGATTGAGAGAAATGAAGGAGGAGCGTTGGGCTAGGAAGGTTTTCAGCTACTTGTACATGAAGAATGTCGATACAAAATGGAGGAAGCGAACAAGGAAGTTGACTGGTAAATACTTAGAAAACAGCAGGTGGCCAAACCAAAAAGAACTATCGGTTAAGAAGAAAGTGAAGGAAACGGAGACTGACATGTGGAGAATTGGCATGATTAAGAAGTCCGTACCAGAGATCTACGAACTTTTAAGCAGGAAATTGCCAAAAAAAGGATCTATGATAATACTCGGTGTAGTTCTCAACTGTTTGAGGTCAGGACGGGAGTATTGCGGACCAAGACATATTGGGCCAAATACGAAGAGGTAGACACAGTATGCAGTGCGTGTGGAGAGGAAGAAGAAACTGCCGAACACTTGATAATGTTCTGTAAAGGGCTTCGCCCTATATAGTTCAGGATGATGGCGCAGAGTTTTTCAAAGCACTGGGGTTTAGGGACAGGGAGGGCAAAATAGACTTTAAGCGAGTAGACTTAACTAGAAGGAGCTTATCTGATTGGTGGCTGAAGTCAAGGCACGAGTAAAAATTAAACCCTTCACTGCAAAGTACCCGTCCAACTTTACTATTTAAAGGAAAAAAAAGATAAATCTAGTGGTTGGTTCACTAAGTATTACGGCTAGGTGGCGTTAGCCACCACCCGATTTAAAGGGTACAGCCACATCCATCCATCCATCCATCCATCCATCCATCCATCAGTTTTCGATGGCCCGTGCATTCGCCTGCTCGTGGCTACGTCCACCTCCTTCTCATGTCGTTTCCTAGGCTCAGCAACACGTGACAACATCCTACGATGAATTACTCACGGGTACCGATATCCTCACAGGGTCCCTCACATACCTGCTCAAAGCCCAGTTTAAGAATGCCTTCACCGTACACGCTGCATTGGACGTACACATCATGCGCCGGCTGATTAAGAAGCCCTCCTACAGAAATGGTCTCGCCAGGAAACGTCCCGTGCACCTCCTAGCAAACTCCTCTAACGTCATACACTTTGTGAATATGACGGTGTTTTTTATTGTCGGTAGTTTTTTGGGAAGGACCTTCGACGCAAAAATATTGGTCTGTATGTCAGACTCTATTTGTCCATTCGTCTGTTTGTCCGCCCTAACGGTATTCTAGCACCAAACGGTACCCTAAACGGCCGACCCCATCTGCAGCTCCCCCAATATTGCTCAAGGTTTAGCGTTCATACTTGTGTGATTGTCAATTAAAAAACAATCATTGCGCATACCTGAGACACCATAACAACACGTTAATATTCTGTATGTGTGTCTTTTTACCAGAAAAGGCATACATAAGAGATTCTAAGGACCGAAGCGCTTATCACGCTGCGCTGACCATGCAGCGCTTGCACGAAAAGGCCAGTGTTTCCAACGCTTTCCTAAGACGACACGGTGGTGGCACCTACCCGTCGCCTTGCGTTCTACACCTTATCGCCTCCGAGACAGGTGCGCACGCCGGGCGCTTCGTTTCGCTAGAGAACTGCCAGATAGCGCTCATGTCTCACGTGTGACGTGACTTGATGCGCTCGTTCACCTCCGCTGCACGCTCGAGGCACTCTAACGCCGCGCCTCGAGAATACCATTCACCGATTTTATTGTGCAGCACATAAAATAAACGTTTTGTTCATATCTCCAGACGCAGGACTATGGTCTTTCGATGACATTCGCAGTGTAACATGCAGATACGGGGCCATTTTTTGTACTATTATTTTTAGTGGACCAGTGATGAGTTGTGCTATTGACCCAATTTCTGTGACCCACATCCGTTTATGACGATTACAGTTCTCTGTATCAACTCGTAACGAATGATTTTCTAGACAGCTTCGCTGTTAAAAAAATAAAAATAAAACGCTGTTATGTGCCTAAAGGTTTTGCGATACATGCAGTTTTCTGACAATTCAAGACGTGCCTTCGCGTCAGTCATCAAGGGGAGTAGACAGCACCAGCAAATGCTCCAGTCGACTACTTAAAACATATAAATAATAAAAATAGCGATCAGATCAGCCGGCTCATTAGCGAATGTCAATGGGAAGTCAGCAAACAGTGTCTGCATGAAAAGAAAAAAAACTATTCTAACGCTGTCACGGTTCAACTGATGCTGCTAACTTGTTAAGTCATGCTACTAATGAACAAAGGAATCTAGGTGCTACTTTTGAACATTGTTAGGAAAATATACTTGGTGTTGACGATGATGCGGCTACTACTGCAGCTACTAAGAGGCACCTACTTCAAAGGATTGGTGCGTAGAAGCTAACACACGCTCTTATAGCAGCATCTAGAACATAAGTAGCAACCAGAAGCAGCAACTAGAACATAACCGCAGGGAAGAGACGAAGGAAGCATAAGACTATTATGAAGTGCATAATACATGCGCGATATGGAAAGCACATTGAAGTCCACACCGACCAAGAAGATGAAAGAAATCGTCTTCTGCGATGTCATTCAGTGACGCAATTTCGGAGAGGCCAATCGCTGAGAACACCATAAAAACCTTCATAAGTGCGCAATACGTTCAGGTTCATTTGGCAATTTTGGAATAGCCCGCTCTAATGTGGCCTACACGCCCACAAATGCGCAATTATTAAACAACAACAGCACATAGAGCAGCGACCTTATGCAATTTCATGTTTAAGCGAGCTCGAAGGTAACCACGATGAACGGGACAAGCACGGTAGCGACATCGTGTGTGTGGAGCGCCCAAGTTCATGTCATACAGTTGGCACCTCGGGCCATGAAAGCGTGCATACACCGAATCTCGAAGCTCGAGGACGGCACCGGAGGACGACGACGAGGAACGGGAAGGAACAGCGCGCATGCAACTTTGGTTTCGTTGCGCATGCAGCGCTCGCTGCTACGGCGAAACGGAAGCGGGAAATTGACGGTCTCCCCTGGTCATCGGA